AAAAGGTTGAGATGTAGCAAAAGTAGTTCTCATAGTTTGAATGTCCTATTCCCTCTGAAACTCATGTTGAAACTTATTCCCCAAATTCATATGTTGATTGTATTTGGAAGTTGGACATAGAGGAGGTAACTGGAATTACATGTGGTCATCAGGTGAGATTGCTGTGATGGCTTTATAAGAACGGGAAGAAAGACGGACCGGGCACGTGTCTTCTTTGTCTTGCCAGGTTGCCTGCTACTGTTAGTGAGAAGGCTGCTATGAGTTCTCAGTGCCATGCTTTGGGACTTACTAGCCTACATAGCCATGAAGTTGAAAAGTCCCTCTTCCTTGAATACTAATAAGTCTCATGTTCCCCTGTATAGCAACAGAATATAGACTGAGACACTAGTACAAGAAGAGAAATTTATTGTGATAAACACCTATCTAAGAAAAGAAACAATCCAAATTGAATAACATGTTCTACCACAAGAAATTAGAAGATGAACAAATGAAGCCCAAAGTTAAGAGAAGAAAGGAAATAATAAAATGAGAGAAGAAAAAAGTGAAAGGGAAAAATAAGAGAAAAAAATTAATAACATTGAAAGTAGGTTTTGTGAAAGAGAAAATTCATATACCCTTAAAATCAAGAAAAAAGAGAAGATTCAAATAAATAAAATCATAAACAAAGTCTCAGACAATACAAATGATGTTGCAGAAATTAAAAGATCGTAAGAGACCACAATGAACAACTACATGGCAACAAAACATGTAGAAATAATCTAGAAAAAGTAGGTATATTTCTAGAAACATATTACCTAGAAAGAATGAATAAAAAATAAAAAGAAAGCCTAAACAGACACATAACAAATGAGAAGACTGAATCAGGACTCTTCCAAAGATTCTGATTCCAGAATCAGAAATTTCCAAAAATGGAAAAGCCAGTGCCAAATACCTTTACAGGTATTTTGATGAACACTTAAAAAAATAATAACACCAATTATCCTTAAACTTGCCCCCCCAAAAATAGAAGAAATATTTATAAATTCATTTCATGAAGACTGTATACCTGGATTGCAAAGCCAGATAAATGCACCATAAGAAAACTACTAACTAATATTTCCAATGAACATTGTTACAAAAATCCTCAACAAAACATCAGTAATTCAGATTCAACCCACATGAAAAAGATCATTCATAATAGTAAAATAGTACTCATCCCAAGAATGCAAAGATGGTTTAACATATAAGAACAGTCGAGATTATACAGTATACATCACAATGAAGAATAAAAGTAACATATTCATTTCAAAAAATATATCTTACAAAATTCAAAATCATTTCACGATAAAAGTTCTCAACAAGTTGGGTATAGAATGTATTTCAACATAATAAAAAACATATATGACAAACCAACAGATAGCATTGTACTCAAAGTTGAACTGAAAGCATTTCCTCCAACAGCTGAAAAACAACAAGCCTGTGGGACTAGGTACTTCGCCCAATGGCGATGTGTCTACCTCACAAGGGCAAGGTCCTGAGTTCCATTCATCTCAAGAACCGGAAAGAAACAAAATTAAAAAAAAAAAAAAAAAAAGCAAACATGTTCAGTCTCACCATTTTCTTCTACACATTATTACCTAGAGTCATTTAACAGGAAAAATTCAGAAACTTTCATTTTGGAAAGAAAGAAATTAAAAATACATCTGCAAGTACCATGATCTTTTCTATGGAAACCACCACAGATCCACTAAAAAAACTGTTAGAACAAGTAAATGAAAAAGTAGCATGATATGATATCAATACAAAAATGCAAGAAATGCATTTCTATACATCGACAATGAACTTTCTGAAAAAGAAATTAATAATCCCATCCATAATATAAAAAGAACAAACTACTTAGAAATAAATTTAATCAAAGGTGTATACACTGAAATATATACACTGAAAAATAAATGTTCATAAAAGAGATTAGAGTGGATGTAAATACTAGGAAACATCTCATGTTCACAGATTGGAATAATTAATATTGTTGAAATGTTCATGATACCAGCCCAAACCTATGTGCAGATTCACTAGTCTATCAAATCCTAATGGTGTTTATTACATTAGAAGAAAAGACAATTCAAAAAATCATATAGAACCATAAAAGATCTTGAATAGTCAAGGAAATTTTGAGCAACAGAACACTAGAGACAGCACATTCACTGACTTCAAAGAATATTGCAAGTCTATGGTTTTCAGACTAGTATGGCATTAGCAAAAATCAGACAGACAGATCAGTGGAATAGAATAGAAAGTTCAGAAGAAACCAAAACATGTATGGTCAGCTGATCTTCAATAAAGGCGCCAAGACTGAAAAATGGAGTAAATATATTCCTTTCAACAAATGGTTTTAGAAAAAACTTGCAAAAGAATGAAACTAGTCCCTTATTTTATGCAACACATAAAATCAAACTAAATGGGTTAAGGACTTAAGATTTTAACTTATATAATACTAGAAGGAAACATAGGGGATATGCTTCTTGACATTTTTCTTGGATATGTCACTAAAATCATAGGCAAAAGAAATAAATAAACAAACAAAAAAGACAAGCAGGACTATCTTAAATTGAAAGGCTTATGCAGAGCATAGAAAACTTTGAACAGAATGAAAAAGAACCTATAAAATGGGAGAAAATATTTTCAGCTACTTACTTAAGAAAGTCAATTCAGGAGATATAAGAAACACAGCTCAGCACCAAAGAAACAATCCCCAAATAAACAAAGGATCAGAATGCACTTTTTCATAAAAAACTCATAAAATGACTAACCGGCTCATGAAGATGTGCTCGATTATTCTAATTATTAGCAAAATATAAATAAAGCCTCAATAAGATATAACCTCACAACCATTAGTAGCTATTATTTTGGGGGCGGGGTTTGAGACAGAGTCTCACTATGTAGTTGAGACTGACCTGGAACTCACTATGTAGGCCAGGCTGGTCTCGAACTCACAGCGATCCTCCTGCCTCAGCCTCCGTAGTGCTGGGATTACAGGCGTGCGCCACCACACCCAGCTCATTAGTAGCTATTATTAAAAAATAAAGATAGCAAGTGTTAGAGAGGGTATGGAGAAGAGGAAACCCTTCATGGAGAAGAATGGTTCCTGCTGGTGGGGCCATTTCAGAAGACGGTATAGAGGTATCTCAGAATAATAAACATAGAACTACCATGTAACCTTCCAATCCCTCTGGTGGTGTATATCCAAAGGAATGAAAATCAGTGCCTGGTAGAGATAGCTTCACTCCCACGTTCAATGTAGCATTAGTCACAGTAGCTAAGATGTATTTGTTGACAGATGACAAGGTAAGAGGTATATAATAGGACAATATAATTGGTACAGATGTGTATTTGTCTTTATATATGTATATATCTATAAATGTATGTATGTATGTATATGTAAGTGAATGTCATTCAACCTTAAAAAAGGAGATGTTGCCAACATAGATGAGCCTTTTGGTGGACGTTATGCTAAATGAAATGAACCAATTACAGAAATAGAAATACTCCATGAACTCCTATACTGTATTTGAATCCTAAATAAAATTAAATATAGCAGAAAAAGAGCAGAGAATGTTGGTTCACAGCCGTTAAGAAAGGAAATATGAGGATGAAAGGGTACCAAACTGTAGTTACGTAGGATTACTAAATCTAAAAGATTTATTGCAAAGCATGAAGATTACAACTAATAATGAGGTAATTATAAAGGAAAAATTCTTAATGTATATCTTAGCATACACAAAAGAGATAACTATGTGACATAGTACTTAATTGGTGTGACTAAAGAAATTATTTTATGTGTTCATGTCCATATATAGTATTACACATTTATGAAATTTTGTATGTTAGTGATTGTTGTACACAACATAAAAATTCTTAATTGGCTATATGTATTCTAAATGTTTTTACACTTTGATTATCAGAATTTTATATTTATTTTAAAATTTGAATATGAACATTTATGCCATATTTATGAAATGGTTACATAGTGTTTCAGAATCGATTTTTTTACTTTCTGACTTATATTGAAAATTATTTGTCTGTCCTTTAATTACTTGAACAGTTATACTTTATCAACTTACTACATTTTCATTTCCAAAAAATAATAGGACTGGGTAGGGAGTGGTTAAAGGGAGAGAACAGTAACTTGGAAAAGGAATGTCATCTTATGCTTGTAAATGATTTCTAATTTGTTACAGTTTCATCAAAGAATATGGTTCATGAATATTAATTCTTTAAATTTCGAGGGTCATTTCTTGTGATCTAGTCTGTGGGGGTTTTATAGGTACTTCACGTATTCTTGATAAAGAAACCCCTACCTAAAGGACTGCATGAAGCAGACAAACTTTCTGTTGTAAGTGGGCTTTTCTTTAGCCCAATATTTCTCTAACATATTCTGTCTTCATAGTCTGTCTTCAAATATTCAGAATGTATTTGGTAGTCTTAATTCCAAGTCCAAGGTCTTCTTATGTGCAGTATCTTCTCTAAGCTTTCACTTGTGATCCCTGAAGAATTCTCTTACTTTTTGATAAGCTCAGTTCTACATGGGAAAGAACCGGTGTTCTATTTTATTCAGTATATTTAACAGACAATTCTGAGGTTATCAAATTATTCCCATCAAGAGTAGTGAGAATAAAAAGGTTTTACACAAAAAGAAATGATTTAATAATTATATTGAAAATTCTGACTGTTAAAATATCTAATATTAAAGTTAAAAATAATAATAAATTCATTTTATGTTTATTAAATTAGAAAAAGTATAAAAGCATTGACAAATCATAGATAAAGCATGTATCTTACTGACCATCAGGGATGGCTGTGTTTATTTTTTGTTCTTAAAGACTTTATAAAGCCCTTCTGTACTCATAAAAATGTGAGTTTATTGTGTATGCTAGAAAGAAAGTATTTCTTAATATCATCCATAATTGCTTTTTTCTCTATCTTAATTCATAGGAATGTATCAAAGGGAATTCATCACTTACCAATTTGCTTTCTGTACTGATCAACAGGAAGTTTTGTAGTGGAAGCATCTTTTCTGCCCATTTTTGATCTCCAAAATGCCTGCTGAAAAGAAGGAAAAGAATTATAATGAAATCCTTTAAAAATACTATCTACAAACTTCAGGAATAATTTATTTCTTCAGATTCATTTTTAAAGCATGAGAAAAAAAATGCCTTTAGCTTATCCCATTAGGTATTCATAAAGAATACAAAATTCTTCCAAATAAATTAGCAAGGATGAAATTGCTGGTAATTAAATTTCCCAATTATTTATTCTTGGTAGCATTCATTTTATCAAGAACTATCAATGCACAGTTAAACCACACTGTTAGAGCACATTATCCGTAAGTGTGAAAATGATGCATTGTTTGTTCAGATGAGTTGGGGTGTAGGCATGCTCCCAGGGCCGAGCTTCTTCGCAACTACTTGCTGCACTGCACCAAAAAGGAAGGCTAACCTTTGCATCTCAAGAAGTTTGTGTTTTGTTTTAGAAAACATGACATTTGTAGCAAAACTCGGGAAATTTTGGCTCTTGTTCTACCTTTCTCAAATAATAAATACTACCTTTTATTAATATCCTCATGCTTCCTACATTGTATGCACTATTTGTTTAATCCTCAATGTGTTTCCATATCCTATTATTTTTATTGAATTTAAATATTCCAGCAGAGCTTATAATCTGCTTGTCAAATCAATATTCTCTTTGTTTTCCTTTCACTATTACACTCTATTTCCTAACCTTAATTCACATATATAACTGAGTTCTTAGCAAAGGGATTTGAATGGAAGTGATATATCACCTTCAAACTCGACCAGTAAAAATTTCCAACTATTCTCCTTTCCTCTTCTAACTGGCTAGCATGGAAATAAGCTTCAGATAAACCTGGAAGCTGCATTTGTAGAAACATGGAAATCTGGCCAGACTGGGGATAAATGCCAATATTTTCACTAGCTTGGCATCCTGGTAACCTACCATGAGAAAGGAATGAAACTGAGCTATTCAACACGTGATTTATTACAGATACAAGTGTTTGCTAAAATGATGCCAACGTTGGTACTCCAAAGTTGTTCCTCATTTCTTTGAGTAGCGTGTTGTGAGAAAAAGATAAAGCCAAGCAAGAGCTGATCAGTTCACAAACCTAATGTAAGAGAACAGTAACCAGAAAATGAAGTGTTTTTTTCAAGTCACCAAATAGCAATAAATAAATAAAGCTTTAAAGAACAACAGGCCATTAAGATTTCTTGGGAGGAGGGGAGCAGAGATTAAAGGTGTTACTGTATCACATGAGCCTATTAGTTCACCTTATCTCGAAGTAGACATTAATGACGGGTGGGAAGGAGAGAAGCTCAGGAGTTTTGAGGCACAGGGGGAAACTCACAAATAGGAAAGAAACTGTAGCGCCATTGCTGGCATATACCACGCACTGGAAATTGTAAGAAGATTAGTAATATATGAGGGAATTATATTTACCAAGAAAGCAGAAACTTTGTCTAAAAGTCTGTGAATGAAAATCAACCCTTGGACCTATTTATTGATTAAATCAATAAATAGCATACACCAAGGAAGGCAAACTCTTTAGCATTGGTAATATCCACTTTTTATACAATCAGGAACAAAGACCCATCCAAAGGGAAGAGTCATAGAGAGTAAGTGACAAGAGAGGTCTTAAAAAAAAAAATTAGGGTATAAGGAAGAAATTTCTGTGAGTGAGGCTGTGCAAGGTAGGTAAGACTCATAGTCTATAAACCTCACAGAAAAACAGTCCAACTTGAGAGAGACAACTGTGATTCGGCTGTAGATGCTTGGCTTTGAAATGTATGCAGTAGGCAGGGAACTCTGGGAGGTTCTTGGTATGGGAAGGTAGGAAAAAGGGCACGCACTGCTATTTTAGGAGCAGAAAGGTGAACAGCAAGACCTGTAGGCTGTTCACTAAAATACATGTTTTCCCCCTCTGGGCACAAAGGACTACATTTCAATCTTCTTTGCGTACTAGTTGTGAGCAAATACATCACAAATTTTCAGCTTGCAAATTGCAGAATTGACCTATAAAATACTTCATGTGCACCCATCCATCCAGCCGAAATGGCGATGACCTCCATGGTGACAGGAAACCGTGTGATACAGACAGCGGCGTAGAACTTCTGAGAGCCTGGATTCTGAATGAGTACATGGAACAGAGTTGTCCAACCTACTTGTTTTGCTCCTTTATACTATTGTGAGATTAAGAAATAAATTTGTATGACTTGAGCCACTCTGCATTTGTTACATTTATTTGTTATGGTACTGATAATACTTTAAAACAAAAATGTATAGGTGTGTCCACGATGTACATTGATACAATTATCAAAGTGAAATTTCCCTACTGAGCGTTACTAATCAAATGCCAAATGTATGTGAAACCTGTTCAAATTGAACTACATCATCTATCTATCCATCCTCATAAAGATAGCTCACACTGATCCAACCCAACACAATAAAAAGCATTCCCACCAATAATTTTTATGTTTACATAACAAAATTAAAAGTTCTCATGTAAAGGTACAAGATCTCAATGATGAATGTAACTGTACTGTATACCTAAAATGTAGCAATAAACTCAATGGGAAAAAAAGTTCAACTAAAAACCTACTTTTCTAATCAATATAATATTCAGTATTATAGTATCACAGCAATATCTAGGAGTGTAAAAATGAGGATGACAGAAAGTCAAATAAATTAAGTCTTCAGCTCTAACAAACCCTCTTATTTACATCTAGCATAACTAGTCTTAAAATGTGACAAATAACAAAATTTTTCCCATTCTGTAAGTTGTCTTTTTACTCTGTTGTTGTTAATGTACAAATTCCCCATGATGAATGTGATCATTATGTACAGCAAAAATGTACTAAAAATACTCTAAAAAATTTGTATAAATGAAACCAAGATATCACAAAAAATCCTATAGTCTTACTTATTATAATTCAAAACATTAAAAATAAATCTGTCAAGACAAGTAACATAAATAATGTCAATAGCTATAATTTATTCACATAACAATTCCATTTGCATAGTGTTTGCATTTATTAATTATAAAGTAGAGTTGTTATTTTAATCTGAATTGTGCAGGGATAGAAAAGATATTCCATTTTAGGACAGAAGTTAGTTTAAGTAAATAAACACAAAATAAGAGTCCCTTTTCAATTTAGTTATTTTCTTTGCTCTCTTGAAATATGCTTAACTTTGTTTTCAAAAACAAGAAAAAAACAAATTACTAAAGTCACCTGCCAAAATAGTTACTCACTATGTTTCTCTGTCTACTTCCTGATCATTTAAACCAAGATCCCAAGACAGAAAACACTTTGGAGGCTAGTATTTTATTCAATGATTATCTGTAATGAATTAAAAAGTAAGAGATCTATTGAAAATATCTTTTCACTGAAAGAAATTGGATTTTACTCATGAAAATCTGTTTTTATAATAAAATTATAATAAAAAGCTAGAGCATCTAAATTTTTGTAAGTACCTATATACTGTAAGTAGATATATTTTATATGTATAATAATCTCTGAATATATAAATATTAAAAGCATTTCAACCAAAAAAACAAAAGAGGGACTGGTTTTCAAGATTTGTTCCCAATTATTTTATTATTTTTAATATTTACTTAAAATTCAAAAATTTAACTTTATTTTTGCCTTTATATTCTAATATTCAAACAATAAAAAATTGCCAAAGATGGAACAAAACAATGCAGATAGACAGGAGTTTTCAAAAATGGCTTACATTTCATGAGCCGTAGCAGACACAAGAAAGTGAAAAATGTTTTACCAATAAACACATTAAAGCTATTTAAAATAATCTAAAGAGATACCAATTCATCTGCACAGTGCAAACTGTCAATGCCTCAAAATCGAGAACCTCCACAATGTTCTGACATTTCTTTGTTCTTCAAAGCCTTGCAGTAATCATCATTCATTTCTATTGCTTTGATGCTTAGATAGCAAACTCCCAAGAAATCCAGGGAGACATTAGCACATACAGCCGCAATTTCTAATAAGATAGCTATTTGCATACAAGATCAGCCACAATTTAAAATGTGTTGTGATCGATGTGGAAAGGGAATAACAGATTTATATTAGCATGTACAATACCAAGATTGTTTTCACAATTTAATTCCTCAGAGATTATGTCTCATCACCTTCTTTCATAAAGAACACTGTATTCCCAAAGGAGCTAACTTGTTCTGAGACCCAGCAAAACTAAAATATGGATTAATAAGATAGTATTTATTATTTATGAATTTTGCGGTAGGAATGATTTCAGATTAAATCATCAGAGAAGTTTTTAACATTTTTGAAACTAGATAACACATATTTGAGGAAGAAGGAATGCTAATTTTATTTAATACCTAAATTACATATTAAAATAATTCATAGTTAATTTTTTAGTTAATTAAAACTTTACACTTTGTAACTCTTAAGAATAAAGACAGCATTTTTGTTTCTAGTATGCTTTCTTTACCTGAATTTAATACAGCAATTCTGGTACATGTATTTTTAAGCACAATATGTGACCTTTAAACAAAGGTAGTATTGTACTATATTCAATCACATTCCAACTAAGTTATTTTATTGTTCACTTATACCTTTTTTATGAAATCCAGATAGAAAAACTAAAGAAATAAGAAACCCAAAGCCTTCACATATGTCTCTGCTTCCAGAAAAAGCTTTAAATCCAGACTGTGACATTTAAATACATATCAAAACATAGGTTATTAAAAGATTCAACCCATGACCATAGAAAAATAATTATTTCAGTTTCAGAGACTAACAGAAAGACCTTTACTAGGAAAAATGTTTATCTAAGCATGAAGCCTTAACTAAGCCGAAAAGATATTTGGTATGTCTGGATAAAAACTGAGAACTAATTATGAAATATAATTCTATTCTAGATGCTGGAAATATAGTAGTGAACAATAAAAACATTTTCTTCTGATCTCACAACATATCCAACCTTTTAAGAGTACTCAAAATTCAAAACTGTTCATGGAATTAAGATATTTGTAATTAACTGCAATGATGATG